TCAGCTTGGCATATGTCTAGCTAAAAAGTGAAGGTTGCATTCTTAAGGAAAAAAAGGAAGAACAGATATTAAGTTACACAGGTATTAAGTTCAACTCTTCCGTATGTTCCAACCAAAATCTGAATGCATAAGCTTTCATCAGAGTGAAGCAAATGGCTAGAGCTTTTTATTAGTTTGGGATTTCTCCGAAGGGTTAAATTTCAGAAAGAAGGAGCCATTGGTGGATAAGTGGGTGTCCAAAATTGTTTTGCTGTAATGTCTTGCTTAATTTCTCATCAAATCTTCAGAGATGAAGGACACTGACTCGTTTATGCAATGTCTTTGAATTGTTGCAGTCCCCTCTGATCCATGGGGGATAGGTTCCAGGACCCCACGCCCAGTGAATGCCTGAAACCATGGATAGTACCAAACCCTACACTACTTTTTCCCTTATACTTTACAGCTTCTCTTTGACATGTCTGAATTGCCAGCATCACTATTCTTGTGCTTTAGCACCACTGTCAAGTAAAAGAAGTGTTACTTGAACCCAAGCCCTGCAATACTGTGATAGTCAATCTAATAACCCAGATAGTCACTCAAGTCACTTATGGGCGGGTAGCGTATGCAGAATGAATGCGCTGGACAAAGAGATGATTCACATCATGGGTGGACAGAGTGGGATGATGCAAGATTTCATAACGCTACCCAGAACGGTACACAGTTTAAAACTTATGAAATGTTTGTTTGTGGAATTTTCCATTTAATATTTTCAGACCATGTTTGACAGCAGGTAACTTAAACAACAGGAGAGCAAAACCACAGATAAGGGGGGACTGCTATACTTCTACATAGGTACAAAAGGGTTATAAATTCTGAATCATCAGTGTAACTAATGCTTCAACTGCTTACAGCCAACAGATGTCGCTGTTTTGGGTTAAAACAGACATATAAGGCTTGTCAAGGACATAAACAGAAGAAATTAAAAAAAAAAAAATACAAACACCAGACAACAGTATAAATTCTTTGATCAAAAAAGGAAGCATAGTGCACACAAGGGCCTTAGAAGTGATAAAAAGAAGCAAGAATTGAATCTGCTGGATCATTTTTAAAGCTCAAAGATCCTCTTCCTTTGATGTCCAAGCAGTAAATTTGTGTCAAGGGAGTCCAACGGCAAAACAAGAGAAACAGAAATCATGTCCGAATGAGCAGCACATCAGCACGAGGTGGGGCAGGGACACAGAGTGAGAAAAGACATTCAGCGCAGTCAAGGTAAAGCTGGAACGGGGGTGGAATTAAGAGAAATAAATGACACAAGTAAGGAGTCAAGGAAATCTGAAATGAAAAGTGAGTCTTGACCATGATTTCCAGAGGGACAGGAGGAGGGTGATGAGGGCCCTGAGGGTCAGCCTGCACGTATTTAGTCAGTTATAATAAGGGAAAATCGCTTCCTCATTACCAGGCCGGGAATGATGCTGATCATCTTCTCCCCCCATTTCAGATAACTGCATAGAAGTTATAATTGGTTTGAGGAAGCATGGGCTGCACAGTTCAGAGCCTTGCTCAATGGGAAAACCCTAGAGGCATGTGCCAAGCTGGATGATAATGACAGCTGTGCCCATCAAATCATGCAGCCAGCCTTTCAGAGGAGATGGGGGTCGACCCCAGAGACCAGGCGGGTTATGTCTAGGTCTCCCAGGAGAGGAGTAGGAACTCCTTCCCTGAATTGGCTGTAAAAATGACAAGTTTATTTAACAGGTTTGGACAAGGTGATAATATACATATAATTGGACATTTTTAAAGATAATTTTATTAGGAAAATGACTCCTGGGTTCTGGACATTGGATTTAATAGGAATTTCACTAGTTTGATATAAATATCTTATTTTCTGATCTATTCTTATTGTATGAACCAAGAATCAAAACGGGCCTTCTTTTCTTTCCACAAATGTCTAAAAATTTTAGGTAAAAACATAGACAAGTGAAGGTCTTAAGCATAAAACCCAAGACCTTTGGTATTTCGAGTTACCTTGTGGTTATTAAGAGGTCGTCAGTAGGCTAATATTAGAAACATATTTGCATCATAAAGAAACAAGTTCATAAAGAGAGAAACCTCTTTTTGGCTTTATGATTATCTATATAAATTGTTTAAGTCACAAATTAGTTTATATGAAGTGCTTCTAATGTCTTACAAAGTAAATGCCAGACACACATATAAGATTCTGATAGAAACCTTATTTACACTCAGAAATTTGGACCTAGATTAGCAATCTTACAGAAGCTGGCTTGACCCCAATGAGTTGTCCTGACAGATCATGCTAACAGCTGAAACATCCGGAAATGAGTCACAGGGAAAATATTTCACCTTTTAAAGGTGATAATATAATCCATATGTCTTTAAGTTATGTAACACCTTTGCTCTAAAGGTGAAACTCGGCACTGAATCCCAGGGGTCATGTGTGCCTGTCTGCACTGTATAGGGCTATATATCACTTTTCCTTTTAACAGCACAGACTAGCCATTGTAGGTCCCAAATGCTTAACACTAATGCTGTTGGATTTGGTAAAATCTACAATACTCAGTAAAAAATAAATTCATATGCAGAAATCTGTTATGGTCCCTAAACATTTGGAAAATAATAAACTTCGGTTTATGTGGCTTTCCAGTAAGCTTAAAATTACAGACATCTGACCTGTTAATGAATGCTCCCTTTCTCAGCAGACACCCTAAACTAGAGACGGTCTCCTTGCCCTGGCTTTCCATATTACAGAATATTTCATTTCTTAAAAAATGAGTACTGATTTGCTACAATCTAACTTGTTTGTGTGTTTATAATCCTCAGATGAATGCGTAGAACTCTGAAGTGATTTGGGAATACCAAAATTGTTCCAGGTAATTAGGTAGAGGGGAGAATCATTTTAAATATCCCTCTTTGATGAAAGTGAGGGTTTAAGGCATGCCATTGTTCCTCCCCACAGACATGGATGAAGGCCTACTTTGTCTGCACACATTGACAGAGTCTGCAAACTGTGTGGGAAGGCCCAGGACATGGCTCTTTTCTGGGTGGGATGTTAAACCTGCTGCGGGAGATGGGAATGCATGCAAAGGGCGATGACAATGATGAACAGCATTTGTGAGGGATCCAACAAGACATGTAGGAATCCACAGGAAAATGAGGACGATGGTGGAGCTGGGACCCACAAAGGTCTCAGAGAGTGACTCAAATTCACTGCTAGTCTTAAGGTAAAGTAGGGCTTTGACGGAGAGTTGATAAGAAAGGTGGCCATATCAATGAGATCTGAGGTAAGCTGAAGAATGGAAGCTACCAGCCATATTCAAGGACTGGTGGAGACTTAGTTATTCTTGAGATGGTTCACAGAACAAGGTTTTTGGGATTCGAGAACATTTTTTAAAAATTATGTACCTTTTGAGGTGCCTCAAATATTGTTAAAAAGAAGGGATGTCACCTGCATTTATGGGTGGGGAAGACTGAAGCAGCTTCTGAAGGAGCTGCAGTATACAGTGCCCAGCACAGAACATGAGGTAGGATATATTCAAGTAGGCAAAAACCTGAGCTAACAAGGGCAGAAGGGTTATGAGAATAAGGGAAAGGACACCAATCAGATTGATCCTTAAGAAGGTTCCTCACCAGAAAAAAAAAAAAAAGAAACATACTAGGTTTTTAATCCTTGTTTTTATTTTTTAAGTGTGAAATATAATGCGAAAATCAGCACATGGCTTGTCATTCTAGAGAAGGGGTTGGCAATCTATAGCTGTATGAATCAAATCCAACCCACCACCTACTTTTGTAAATAAAGTTTTATTGAAACATACCCGTATCTTTTCATTTACCAATGATCTATGGCTGATTTTTTGTTACAATAGTATCATAAAGTAGTTGCAACAGAACCTGTATGGACTGCAAACTCTCTATGTGATCTGGCCATTTATACAATTTGCTGTCCCCTTTTCTAAAGCACGGTAGAAACCACTACATATTTTAATCTTGAAATGCCTAGTGTTTGGTGTCTAATATCACTCACTGATGAAAAAAACAAACAAACAAAACAAAGCAGAGATCCTTGGAGGGGTGGTGATTCTAGGGCTGTGGCAAGAAAATATGAGATGAGCCTAACCATGGTCGGCAAACTGCGGCTCGCGAGCCACATGCGGCTCTTTGGCCCCTTGAGTGTGGCTCTTCCTAAGCCTTAGGAGTACCCTAATTAAGTTAGTAACAATGTACCTACCTATATAGTTTAAGTTTAAAAAATTTGGCTCTCAAAAGAAATTTCAATCGTTGTACTGTTGGTATTTGGCTCTGTTGATTAATGAGTTTGCTGACCACTGGCCTAGGGCATCCTGTGGTGGCCATAAAGGAGGGAGTGCTCCAAAAAGGATGGGGCCAGGTCAGAGAACACAGGAGCCAACTGGAAAGAGCTCTGAGTGGTCAAAGCTAGAACAATTTGAGTCACAAAGTAAGTAGTAACAGTATTGGGTTACAATAAATAGAATAAAAAATGGTCAAGTGATGAATGAGTCCATACTAATATAAATAAATATAGAAGAAATATGAAAAATAGAAAACTATCATTGGAACACCACAACCATAATTGTTGTAAGAAATATCTACCAGTGAATGCTGACATTAATGAATGAAAAATTTGAGGAGAAACAGCATATTTGCAGAGTCTCAAAGTACCTCCCCTATTTATTAATATAAAACGGAAAAATCATAAAAGTACAGAACTGACTAGACACCAGCTTAACCAAGTGATCAAGGTTAACACCAACAATATAAAGACATATGGACATAATTCACTTGATTGATAAGATGCACTGAGAAGGGGATGCCACCTCTGTGGTATTTTTTTTTTCTTAAAAATGCAACCTCAATCTAATAATAAGAAAATATCAGACAAATCCGGAATGAATAATATTCTCTAAAATAAATAACAAGTTTTCTTCAAAAATGTCAAGGTTATGATAGAAAAAGAAAGAGAGATGAACTCTCACACTCTCACTGCCTGGAAGATACTACGGAGACAGGAAAATGCATGCAGTGTGGGGTCCTGTTTGTGTCCTGGGACGGGAAAAGGCCTCGTGGAAAACTGGTGAATACGAATAGAATCTTTAGTAAATTAACAATACAATGCTACTTTCTTAGTTTTGATCATTGTGCTATCTGGGTAAAGGTTATGCAGGAACCCTCTGGATTACTTTTGCAAATTATCTGTAAGTTTTAAAAATTATTTTAAAAAAAAGTTTAAAAGTGTTTGAAAAAAAGAGTAGTTTTCTATATTACCAAAATGTTGGCTTTACTGTAAGAATTAAACAAGATACTGCAGAAAGAAAAATTAAATCTCTTCCTTATAAGATACATTTAAAAATTTTCAGGTATATGAAAAGCCTAAAGGTGAAAATGTTTTAAATTAAAAGGCAAAGACCAGACCACCGAAGTAAAAGTAACACACTTTGCTAAATCAAAAATGCTAACTTCTTAATCAAAATTCTATAAATACTGTTTAAAAGTCAAACAGATTGGGAGAAGACAATGACAATTAATTGAAGTAAGAAAAAATTAAAGTTAAGGAAATGTAAATAATTCAGGAGGCTCTGGCGGTTGAATGGAAGTAAGATTACGTCTTTATAATCACAAGGCTCTAAGTAAAATTTAAGCATTTTCTTTTACAGTAAATGTGGGCTATAAACCAGAGTGGCATGAGTGATATCTGAGACTGTCAAGTTTACAGTTCATCAATGTTTTTCATGTAACATAATAGTTGTTGCAAACATCTAGAGATACTGTTTACTCTTATCACGTCCTCCAAATTATAGTATAGATTCACTACTAGATGTTATTTAAGGAATTAATAAAAATCAAGGGTTACTATATTACAATTTGTGTGTTTTTCAGATTGTGCTAGCTATGCTTTAATATAACTCTGCTCCTTTGTAATCCTATGTATTTTATTAAGGAAATTTTTAAATTTACCCCATAAGGAGTCCATTAGCTTTAGCAGGCTTCCAAAGGCATGTATGGAATAACAGAGGTTAAGAATCACTGTACTATTTTGATATAAATAGAATGGTATAAATAACGGTGAGGGAAAAAACAGCTAGTGTCAAAATGATGTATGTACAATATGGTACGATTTTTATGAAAAACACACAAAATAATAGCATATATTTTTCATGAAATAATATTCATGCATAAAAATCTATAAATGTAATTGTAAAGAGATACAATAAATTCATAATAAATTTTGCCTCTATGAATGGGGGAGGTGAATAGGATGTCAGAAGGTGAATTTAAAAAAGACAATATTTAACTATAATATTTTAGTTATTTATTTAAAAGTGAAAGAACCATGATATCATTTTACACAGCTGCAAATTCTGGGTAATACATACACTAATGGTTGTGTTTCTAATTTTTTTTAAATATCTCAAAATAAAATTTTAATCAATTTTTAGAAATTAATTCAATATAAGACATGGCCTTAAAGTATTTTGCACTGTGCTTAATATATAATAAACATTTCATAACTTTTAGAAATTTCTATTATTACTATTTTAAAAAATTGTTTCAAAAACAAAAATAGAAAGGTTTGACCTCGTAGGTCGGAAAACCACATGAGTAAGAAGGAGCATGTCAAATTAATGAGGTGTTGTCGACATCTGTAAATTATAGCAATCCTCAATACTGGAAATATTTCCATGAACTATGCCTTTCCTGTTCATGACTCAGAACATAATGCCCTGAATTGGTTGTACAGGCAAAAGCAGCCCTGGGAGACCTGGAAGCCCAGGGCAGACCTTGGTGATCTGAGGTTTATTAGGGTAACTGGGCATCTTATCAATTGCATGCAGGGTAAGGCAGTGCTCTGTCCAACCTACTGAATGGCATCTCACCGAGCCATCAATCTGGCCACCCCACCAAACAGGAAGTGCTCTGGCTGAGCACTGAGAATCCTTTTTCACAGATGTTGCTAAGAAAGAGAAAATAAATTAGGGAAGACCTTGTATGAAAAGCAGTTGGCTTGGGGCAGAAGGTAGACACATTCCAGTGTGTTAGTGAAGTTCTGAAAAATAGTCACTCCATCTTTCTTTTTCTATGTTTTTTTTTTTTCTTCAAGAGGCATGCCAAAGAAGAGGCTTTTGTAATTAAATATGATAGAAAATACTATATAATTTATTCTCTTCTTGGAGAGTCATAACATACATATATATTAGAATATTAAAGGCTCTGAGGAGTCCTATTTCCTTTTCCAACCCAGCATCTCCCAAACTGATTATGAACATCTCGTAGAACTTATACTCATTTTGGAAACACTTTTCTAATGTTTCAAAAAATCAAAACATCTTTAGCTATTTTTAATAGGAGAGGAAAATTTCATAAACATCCAGTTTACACTTGAAGCATGGCATTAAAAGATGATTACAAATATGTTAGAGCACATAAAGCTGGATGAATTTCCAAGGCAGCAGGTTATCTCAGAGGTCTGATCGCTGTCAAAAGTCTCTTTATGGTTTATGGTCCTGTCTGAAACCCTCAGTTCTCCCATATGTACATATATGGTACTCTTCCCTTCCCAGTTAATTGTGCCATAAATAATTTCTTCTTATCTGCATATCGATTACAAGGTAATGAATGCCACTTCATATTATGTGAAATACAAATCAAGCCCTAGACCCCATGAGATAATATTCTTGGCCAAACTCCCAGGCCCTGTACTTGGGATGAACTTCAATTGAGTCTCCAGGGCTAGTGAGTGTTATGTTTCTAAGTGATATGTTTATTTTATGCCACATTTGCAAGTTGCCTTTCCCTCAAATGTACCATTACGGATTATATTGAGATTTTTTAAGGTGTTCGATTCACTTTATTTTTGTAAATGTTCTTTATTCAAATTTATCTCAATGTAGAATTTGTTCAAACCTCATCACCCTAGAGAGCTTTGAGGTTACTCTTTCCCTACAGGGGGGTTTACAGAAAAAAATAGCAGCTAAAATTCACAGTTGTCAGAGGCGTATTTTCTTCTTGCTAATATTTAACATGCTTGCTCCAATGGAATAATGCACATGCACCAAAGGAAACCTCTGGTTCACTGACTTTAGTCTTTTTATAATGCCACGTACCAGTGCCAATGCTTTTTGGATATGCCAGTACAGTTTTGTCCTTCTTTAAAGAATACTCAGGGTGTTGATTTCATATTGGAAATCTATTTTATATCAGTGAGAGAAATACTATTTCCATCTGAAAGATATTATCTTTGAGATTGAGTCAGGTTCCATGCTGGGAAAGGGATCAAGGAGATATAACAACGGTTGAAGAAGTGAAACTCAATGTGTAAAGTATTTTCAAACATAGCAGCAGCAAATGGTGAAGATGAAAAATTGGAAAGAGCATTTTCCTTTGACAATTTTGAATAGCTGCATCTTTATTTCGGTGCTGAAATGCTCTGTGCATTTGCTTTACAATCCTCTCTTCCAATATCAGTGCTTAAATAATTTCCTCCTGATGGATAAAAGATAGGCAACTAAAAGTATATTTTAATATTGAACTCAACTACTTTATCCTGAAATTCAAACCACATGTGACTCAAAGAGATTTAGACTATTTTTTGAGATCTAGGGGTTTCTTTTTGGTTACCGAACTCTTGACATGTTTTGCTCTTAGACACAAATTAGGAATCTGACAATGAAAATTCACACCCCAAATCCATCAAGGTCTATGTAAATAGGGAATTATGAAAATAGTAGGTTTGGAGACAAAACACATTTCCAACCACTATATAAATCATATCCTTTTACTGTTCAGGAGAGGGGTATCAACCATGGTTTTAAATGGAAGACAGTCTTAACTGCAGGATCACTCTTCAAGACCCTACCTTCACACCCATCTCTTTAGACACCACTTGGCTTCTGACCTGATACCCTAATACACCTGTGCCATGAATGATTACCTTCTGAAATAGGCCACAGAGAGATGAAATATTGCATACAAAAAAAGTAAATCCAAAAGATACTAAAACACACACACTGATTATAGGAAAATACTTCTGTATTTTGTTAAATTGCAGATCCATAAATATGTGGAAATTTCCACATGTTCACAGTTGAGCTCAATTGCATTTCTGTGGTTGTTGGTGCTCTCATCAAAACACATAACTGAAAACTTACAGTTTTTTTCTTCTTCTTTTATTCTATTTCACTGCACAGATTCCAGGCTCGAATCGTCATTGGCTCTCTTGACCCTGTCATGCAAATAGGGTTGGTATAGCTAGAAACAGACTTCTATGGAGAGACTTGTATTTACTTTTCTGATTTCCAGGGCCTTTGTCCTCTTTAGAATTGTTGCTTTGTTGCTCACTCTTTGGGTCTGTCCTCAGTACCAGTCATGGTCAGCCCTAAGCATCGAGAATTTCCTGATTTAGAGAGCAGATGTTCTTAAATATTAGGGGGGGAAAAAAGACTCAAGAAGTGGCTAAACAAATTACCAAAATGATGTTTAAAATAATTGTCCATACAACGTGAGCACACCCTTGCTGGAGAGGATATGGAAGGACAGGCACTGGGCCAAAGGGCCAGCATGCTGGAGGAGGAGCCTGTAGGAGCCGAGGTCCAGTCCTGCTCCACAGCCGTCAGCCCTGACTTGGGCAAGTTGCTTCAGCCTCTTTTAGAGGGGCTTTTCCAGGCTCTGAAATAGGTACATAAAGTTTGCCTCGCAGGGTTGTTCTGAAACTCAGCTGTGAAGTAGGTAGCAATTTAAATAGAATTGAATTATGTACTATTATACATTTGATGGGGGAGGGGTGGGGGGCGAGAAGGAACAAAGGGAAGGTGCATAGGAAACCAATAAGGCCTGATGGGCCACAGAAAACAAATTCTGAAGAAAATTAAAGTGCCTCAGCTTATTGAACAGGTATTGCTTTCTAGAGTCCATTTTTTCAGTCTTTTATGTGTTCGTCTCTTTATTCTGAGCAGAGGCATGGCCCCTTTCTCCCTACAAGCCCTACATTTCGATCCAACCTGAAATGTTTTTCCAGCTTATACTAGGCATTTCAATGGGAAAAATGAAGCCAACTCAATTCAAGGAAACATGGAGAAA